TACAGGGAGACCCTGTCTTGAAAAGCCCAAAAAAAAAAACAAGAAACAAAAAACAGCACAGGGGCTGGAGAGATGACTCAGCGGTTAAAAGCACTGAGTGCTCATGCAAAGGACCTGGGTTCAATTCCCAGCACCCACATGGCAGCTAAGAACATTCCTTAACTCCAGTTCCGGGGGATCTGTCGCCCTCTTCTGACCTCCATGGCACTGCCAGACATGCGTGCACTCGCATGCAGCCAATACACTCATAAAAAAATGAAAATAATTAAAATTAAAAAAATAAAAACAGCACAGAAGCAGCTCTAAGATAAAATGTAAGTTTACATTTTATAAGGGTTGCTAAAATTTATACCTTACATTACAAAGGAAATTTACCTTTGTAATCCTGCCTCCTTCTCTGTACAATAAGAATAATTCTCACAAAGCAATTTATCAAAGGAACCCTTGAAGCAGGCTTTATTCTGCATGATAACCTTTACCCCTGCTTGTCATAGCTTGTCTTGGTTATCTTTCTACAACTTGCCTCTCTCAGCCTAGAAGCCCAAGTCTTTTTCCTTTTCTCACCTCAAACTGGTATATAAACCCAAGTTTTAATCACCCTTTGGAATTACTCATCTCTAAGCATCTCCCATGTAGACAACATAAAAAATTTACTAAATCTGTTGATTTCCTCTGATTAATCTCTTGTTACAGAAAACAAAGAGATTGTGTGAAGGCAATATGCCTCAAAATGCAAAGCATTTTAATTATATACACAGTAGGGAAATTTTCCTTAAGCAGATTCATTTTACCATCTTCAGTAACAGAAGGCTGTTCCAAGAATGGTATTATTTTCTGAGAAATCTGTGATACTGGCAAAGAAGTAGATGCTTGAATCTGAAAGAAAATAATTCACTATCAGTTAGAAAAAAATATCTTTTATTTAAAATTATATGATTATTTTGACAAAAAGCCACTTAATTCGAACTATTCAAGAAGAAATTAGGGTTAAAGTTGGAAAAATCATTATACCATGTAAAGTTGGAGTCAGGCATGGTGGCGCATGCCTTTAGTCCAGCACTTGGGAGGCAGAGGCAGGAGGATCTCTGAGATCAAGGCCAGCCTGGTCTGCACAGCAAGTTCCAAACCAGGTGGGCTACAGGGAGGCCCTGTCTCAAAAAAACCAAAAAAAAAGGAAACTTAAAGAAGGGCCTTTAAGTAAGCTAGGGATGTACCTCAGTTGGTAGAATGCTTGCCTAGGAAGCATGAAGTCCTGGATTTGATCCCCAGTGAAGGATAATGTCTCAACTTGGACAGTCCCAAGCTAAGTTGAAAAACCCCAACTGGGACACTGCACTGAGGAACACAAATGCCAACACTTACTGTCCGCAAACTTCACACCACAAAAAAACCCAGAGCTGCTGAAAGATGCCATTTCCCCTTTAATTTCCTTAAAGACCCAGACCAACCTTGCCTCAGCTTGCAGTTTCTATCCTGCAGAAAAAATGTTCTTAATAAAGAACAAATCGGCTCCTGCTGAGGTCGGTCTCTCATTCTCATGTCACCGCATGTTAGAGCTAACGTTTTCTAACACCTAGCAACACATAACTGGGTAAGGTAGCTCACACCTATAATCCTAGAATTTGAAAAGGTGGAGGCAGGAAGATCAGAAGTCTAGGTCATCCTTGGTTACATACTGAGTTTGAGGCCAGCCTGGGCTACATGAGACCCTGCGTAAAAAAGAAAGGAGGGAAACAGAGTGATTTTATGGATGTAACATGCTCAAAGGACATTATATACTTGCATAAAAATAGTTGTATATAACCAAGTACAGTATTTTCTAAGAATTTTTATAATCATTGTGAATTAAAGTTCCCAGAAAAAAACCTGCATCTTGGAATGAACTTCCTGCACTGTAGCACTTTAATGAATGTGGAGCATTTAGATGTTGTAGATCCAGAGCCCATTTACAATTTATCTTGGACAACCTTTAGCCCCCAAATAGCCACTTCTTGTCCACCTCTGTTTCTGACTTAATCAGTGACTAACAGATAAAAAACTTTTGGAATGTATTAACGAAGCCCCTAGCTCCCACCAAACAAAAGGCTGAGTGCCATCAGAGAGTATTGTGGAGCCTATAGCTAAGATTTCTTGTGTTATAACTACCTATGTAATGTTTCCAAAAATGTATTTGAGAAACTTCTTATTTTATCACTTTTCTTCGTTCTGTTACTAAAAAAAAAACTTCATGAAACTGCTTCCACAAGGGAACATGGAATTTGCAGTAACCAGACTCTGTGTTCCCAGGCCGTGGTCACACTTTTTTGACTCCCCTTTGAGGTGAGAATTGTGTTTCTGTGTCAAAATCGTAATGCTAAATATAAATTATAACAACCTTTTTGGTAACCTATACAAATTCTTTTTTTAACCTTATAAATTTTTTAAATTATTTATTTAATAACTATATAATTAGAAGAAGCATTTCATTATCACACAGCTTTGACATATTCAATAACAATTTCCAGAGCTAAGATGCATCTCTTTCAAAACTGGCTGTAAATTTTTAGGTTTACAGTTGAATTAATACAGTTATATAATATTGTGCTCAGTATAAAACCTATAAAACATAAAATTGAATGAGGTTTTAACTTTTAAAAAAGATCTGCATTTCATTGTTAAAATATACTGTTTCATACAGAAAAACTCATTTTTAATGCAACTAACACTTAGAAGCTTGCATATGCATCTCCAATCTCTATATATCTCATTATTACTAGTCATAGTCAGCTACTTTCTGAGACCCTTGACATCTGAGCATGGATATAAAGTCATCAGGTAGATTTCAATGGTAATGTTTTTCAGAACTACTAATTAACATGAAGCAGATTTTTATGCTTCTTCCTCGAATACAACTTTTTCTACTGATTGATTTTTTTGTGCGTATTTCATACAGAACATCCCAAACAATCTTATTCATCTATATACCCACATCCCAAGTGACACCCTCCCACACCCCCACACTCTGCTGGAGCCCATATACTCTGTCATCTCTGTTATTGTCCACTGTGTTGTCAGTGCCTCCAGCTGTTCCCCAGTGCTTATCCATCTGCTGAGTGTAGTCAGCCTATCTTTAGTTCCTTGTTTTAGGAAGATCTGCTCTTCCTCATCTAGCAGCAAACTACTGCCAATATTCCTTTAGGTAAGATTGGGGTCTGCTGTTCATTTTCCCAGTTCTATGCTAGGTTACTATCTGGGAGTCTCTTGGGCCACCCTGGCCAACAACTCAAAAGAAGGTCTCTCCTGTCTGGCATTGTTTCTTGTTATGTAGCCTTTAGCTATACACATGGACTCTTACTTAAAAGAATTATACTGGTCCCTTTAATCTTTGGTTATACTTTCCCTTTCGGTGTTTAAGAAAAGGAAACACCAGTATGGGAAACATGCAATCGGCCCAGATAAACCAACTTATTTTTACTCTTAAGGTCATTTGAGGATCGGTTCCTCAGGGGTCACATGGGCTTAGGAGGAGCCCCTGGTTCCTTTCCTCTACCAGTTCCACCTATGTGAAGATAAGTCAAAGGTCCTGCTCGACCATGGCTGTCTTTGCTTGGAAGCACAGAGGAAATGTTTTCTCTGTGTTGACCCTCCTCTTTGTAGACTGGACACTGATTCACGTCCATCTGGTGGGGTCTCCATGGCCTCCTTGATCAAGAGGACAGGTGACTCACTACAGTTACAGGACATTCTGAGGGATGTTCCATGGTCCCCTGGAACTTAGTCGACTTGGAGAGCAAGGAGCAAAAACTGTCCTTTATGTCCCTCTGACCAAATTAGTATAGGCCTCAAAGTATGGCTGTTAAACATCCAGTCTGGTACTTTTAATTACCATGTGCTATATAGATAAAGCTTGGGGAAAGACCAAAAGTTCTCAGATAAACCTTGACTAGACCTATATTATGTTCCTTGAGCTAGAAGTAGGTATAATTTGTCAGTAGATTGTTGGACTAATATGATTCCCTCTAGTTTTTTTTTTTTTTTAAATTAGTGAGGCATTATTTATCTCTCGCATTGTCTAACCCTTCCACCATGGTTTCCCCATTTAAAGTGCCCCCATTTTTCCCATTTCTCCCTTAATAATACCCTTCTCCTGTGGTTCTACCTTCTTTCCCTTTATCCTCAAGGTTCCTTATATAACCCTTCCTCCCCTCTCCCTTAAACCAACCCAATTTTTATCCCTTTCTCCCTTATTAAGGCCTGTTTCCTACTTTTCTTCTCTTTCAGATTATTTCTTTTCCTTTACCTCCCTGGTTCCTTTTCATTTCCCTGGTTCCTGCAGTTATGTCTGGATACATACTCACTTATAAGGATTTGTATCCTGTATAAATTCTAAGTCATACATTACCTTAGCATTTACTAAACCAGGAAACCACCTCCAGGACACTGTTGAGAAACCACCATCCCAAGTCCCAATGTTAAGGCCTCTAGATTTGAAAAGCTTACACTGTTATTTTAATTTTTAGTACTATTTTAGTAAAAATAATTTTCAGAGAAAAATTAAAAAACATAATGAAGTTTAAAAAAACAGCACATCTGACTCAAGAGGCAGAAGCAGGAAGATCACTTTGAGTTTCAAGCTAGTCAGGGATGGAATGCAACCCCCATCTCAAGAACAAAATAAAATAATAATGTATATGAATCTTCCCCAATACTGTTAATATATCTGACCTATAAAAAACTATGTAGCTTCTTCTCCAGTCTCACCTTGACTTGGCTGTTTGCATTTAACCTCCTATAAAAGATTTTCTAAAGAATACAACTTCTTCTAAACTGCAGAAAAGGGGATTACAATGTATGTTTTTCTATGGCTTCCTAATTTAAAAAAGCAATCTAAATTTTAATCATATTGATGGCTATGGCTTTTCTAAGTCACATTATGGTTATAGCTGAATCAGCCTGATTCTTGGCATTAGTTTTAAGAGAGGGCCCAAACTCTTCACAGATTGTTCCTTCAGCTCTCTCAGGGAATTATGTTCCCCAGCCAAGCCTACCCCTATCCAAACAGTCTCTCCATCATAAACTGGGGAATCACAAAATTGGATTCACCCACTATCAAGAATCCCTAGGCCAAAAAATCTCATACACACATTATTAAGCATAATTCTTAATTCTCCCTGTTTCCAGTGAGGATATGAATAGGAATGCCAACTTTCAGTGCTTTGGTATGCTAATTCAGGTACAGTCATAGTCATTCACTATCTTGGATCAGAGGGAAGTTAGATTATACAGTCAGCAGACAAAAGTGTTTTTTATCAAAATTGAAATGAACATGGTTTATATGTCAAGCTAACCACCAAAATTGTCAGGCAGTGACTTACAGGTAATTGTGGCTGTTGTGACTCAGATGACTGCTGCCAAATCCAGCTGAAAACTTAGCCTTTTTATAAATACTTGTGTTATCATCCACACCTTGCTATTCCATTTTCAGAAGAGAGGCAAAGTAGAATTAGTCTAATGCTTAGGGCCTACAAGTTTTGGGAAGGAAAAGGCACATCAGCTTCAACTTCCCAGTTACCAGCTACATGTGCCCCTAACAAGGGAGCAACTATGTCCTTCGAAACTTTGAGACTTTGCTCTACCTATCAAAGTTCTAGATGACAGCTTCTTCCAATGTAAGGATGTGTATTACACAGCAGAAATCTGTTTTGTGTAGCCATCATTATCAATTACCTTTGCTAGATCTCCTATATAACTGGCTCCTTACATCATCATTTGTGGCTTCACCTTTGCAATTTTTTTTAAATTTTAGATTATTTTAAAAGATAATTTAATCATGTATAAAGAACACAGAAAAAGAAAAGAAAAATGTGATTTGATGTTTTCTTTTTGAAAGTATCTTAGAGAAAAGTCATATAATACACAACCAAGAAATCACAAAGGTGTGGTAAAATAACTGTATATAAAAGATGAAAGCCTCATGCATAGCAAAAATAAATGATTATATGCAATAAAGGTCAATACAAAAAGGTAATTTCAAATGACCAACATAATTTCCATAATTGGAAAATCATAATGTAATAGAATCTACAAAATGGGAGAGTGTTTTTAAAAAGTGAAATTCAAGCAGGCATTAAACTTAGGCAAATACACTCCTATGAAGAAACAAATTAAAACCATAAGACATTTTCTATGAATAAAATGTTAACAACTGCTAATACTCAAGATTAATCAGAACAGAGAAAAAGATATTTGTGTTACTGTTATTTATTAACTATAAATTCTCAACTTATTGAGAAACTTTAGCAAAATTTAAAATTTATATACTTTTCCTCAATAACTTCACTTCTAAGAATTTACTTAATGGATAGATGTATAGCCAAATATATGTGCGAGGAAGTTCAATAAGCATTTTTCATCATTTTAAAGATTCCTAATAAATATCAATCTCAGGGAAAGATGATAAACCACACAAGTATGTTGAAAATTAGGTCCAATAAAAATTAAAACAACTGCATATTGTTTCACTTTAAATTCCTGTGGTTATTTCAAATACTAATTTTGAACTTTCCATTCATTAGTTCTGAAATTCTAAATAACATTACCTGAAATGATTTGACAGGGACAGATACATCAGTTGCAGGTTCAGGGGTTGGAATGCTTTCAAACAATTCTATAATCCCTTGCAGTTTTTTATCCGAGATTCGTAAAGAAACAAGAGGTAACTTTCCAGAAATCTTGAATCTATTTTTAAAAGATAAGAATCACTACAGTGTAAATATCATTCTGATTTAAATGCACTAATTTAAAAAGAAGTCTGGGACTAGGAATATAGCTCAGTGGTATAGGGTTCAATGACTACCAACCATGGCATCCCTCAAAAAACCAAACCAAACAAACAAAAAAGAGAAAACAAAGACTGAATCCCTTAAATTCAACAAATTTAATCAGATGTTTTTAATTTCTTAAAATTTTATGTGCATGAGTGTTGCTGCATATATGTAAGTGCAGCATGTGCATGTAGCGTCAGCAGAGGCAGAAGAAGGAGCGGGATCCTCTGGAAATGAAGTTACAGAAAGCTGTCAGCAGCCATGTGGGTGCTAGGAAAGAAACCCCGGTCCTCAGGAAGAGCAGGAAGTGCTCTTAAATGTTGAGTCATCTATTTAACCTCTCAAATGCTATTTTAAGAACTCAAAATTACTACAATTTCCAGCTTACCTTATAAACCTTAGATGGACCAGCCTCACTACTTTAAAGAGGTTTATTTTCCACTATTATTTCATTTATTGTCTCTCTACTGTTTGCCAAATATAGAAGGCAATTATTAATTACCAAATATGTATTCTGTGACTAGCACTGTAGTATTTTATATGCCATCACTGTAAGGAGTTCACATAACCTAGAAGGAATACAACATATTTCTATCCCCTACTGCTCGAAGTTCTCATATGCACAAGGTTCCTACAAGAAAACTCAAGCTTACCAAGTTCAAATAACTTAAGAGATTATATGAACAAAACAGGAATTCAAAACCAAACCTGAGTATTTTGTTATTCTTTTAACTGTCTTGGCAGCCTCCTTTGCTTGCAGATGCAAGAGTTAAAGAGGAGCTGGAGCTCCAGAGATATCTCTGCAGCTAGAGGTGCTTGCAGCCAAGCCAGATGCCCTGAGTTTGATCCCTGAACCCACATGGTTGAAGGAGAGAACTGAGTCCCTCAAGTTGTCCTCTCACCTCCATATGTCCACCATGGCACATGCACTCCCAAGCCCACACATACATACCACACACACAAAATAAAAATAAATGTTAAAAAAAATTTTTTTTTAAAAAACACAAAACAAAAGGCTTGAAGAAATGGCTTTGCTATGAAGAGCCAACTGCACAAGCATGAGGACCTAAGATGAGACCCCGGCACAAATATAAAAAGTAGATGGTGCTGCTTGCCCATAAACCTAACACATGGGTTGGGGGAAGTAGACAGACACATCTCTGGAGCTCCCTAGTCAGTCAGTCTAGCTAATCAATGGGCTTTGGATTCAGTATCCAGAAACAAGGTAAAGAGTGATAGAAGACATATAATGTCAACCTCTGGCTTCCACATACATGTATGAACACGTGTACAAACGTGCACACAGACAGAAAGAATTTAGAAGATATGGACCTCATACAGAATGCTTTTACTTACTTTTTCATCCCTGCATTTTTCCTAAAATTTACTCTTTCAAATTACACACGCTGACTGCTACATTTTTCCTTTTGAAAATGTACCTGGATTCCTTCAGAAAAATCATAAGCTCTATTTCTAATAGCCTAATACTTGCAATTAATCCCACATACCACTGTTTAGCTTAGTTACACAATTGCAAATTGGTTCAATTAATGCATCAAAATGCTTCCCTTTCTTAAAATATGCAAGGTATACAATCCAAGAAGCCAGGCATCAAAATATTACCTACCACATAAAGGCTTCCTTTTATTTGTCTTAAACTTGTCTAGCTATAACAACAAAAGAAGGCTCCCTGACATTTGTACAGTTCAGGATTCTATATTATATTCTCTTTACCAGGGTCATTACATTTAAAAATAGAAACCAATTAACTTCCCATTTCTTCTTCCTAAATCATTTCTGGCCTATAGCTGTTGTCAATATATATGGATCTTTTAAACAGCTATTTTAATTCTTGCTATGCTATTGCTAGTACACATACTCACTATACTCATACACTGAGAAAGCAAGCCCCACACAAGATAAGCTGCCCTTTTCATATCTCAAAGGACTATCCCTTCTCTTTTCCTGGTACCCTGAATGTCCTTGATTACAGCATACTAACCAAGAAAAGAAGAAACACAAACTATACTAATAAAAAGAAAATCAAGCTAAACTGTTATGTTAACACAAAGTCACATACACATCTGCTCATTAGCACAAACTAAAAACTTTATAAGAAATATCGGACAAGAGTAAACATGCAGGGCACACATAGGAAGATGAAGAAGAATTTAAGCCTTCCCCTAGAAGCAAGCCGTATCTAAAGATGAAAGGAAAAGAAAAAAAGAATAGACACTATTCAAAATCAGAGTGCTGCTTAGTTTTGGTCAACGTGATAGAAACTAGAGTCATCTGGGAAAGGGGAACCTCAATTGGGGCCTTAGGCATGTTTACAGGGCATTTTTTTTTCTTTTAAAATTTATTTATTTTTATTTTATGTGTATTAGTGTTTTGCCTGCATGGATATAAGTTCACCCATGTCATGCATGCCACTGGAGGTCAAAAGAGGGAACCTCCTGGAACTGGAGATACAGATGGCTATTAGCCACCACATGGGTGCTGGAACCTGAACCCTGATCCTCTCGAAGAGGTGCTCTTTATCCCTGAGTCATCTCTCAAGATTGCTAATTGATACAGAGCAGCCCAGTCCAATGTGGGTGGCGACACCCCTGTGCAGGGGCCTGGGCTGTATAAGGTAGCTGAGCAAGACAGGGAAAGGAGCTATCCTTCACGGTCTCTGCTTCAGTTCCTGCCTCAAATTCCACCAATTGTGGACTACAAAGTTTAAGATGAAATAAACCCTTTCTTCCCCAAGTTGGTTTTGGTCAGTGTTTTATCACAGCAACAGAAAGCAGAACCACCAGCTAAATGATCTGGTCTAGTTTGGAAGACCTCTCTACTTAATGGTCCTGGGTTCATAACTTCAGCTAACAATTACATACTAAGATCACAGCATAGATAAATGCAAGGGCAAATATAATGCAAGTATTATTTTAAATTCAGTTTACGAAAATGTTTCATTTTCTAAAGAATTTAAAACACAAACAAATATAACTGTCTAAATAATGAGTTCAGAAAAAGTAAGTTTTTGCATGCAATTGGGACTAAAGATGGTAACATTTTAAGTAGTCTGTAAAAACTTGAGGGACATATTATAATGTCCACGGTAACCAAAGTATGTACAAAATATAGAAAAATGGAAATGAGAAAGTAATCAAAACATGTAACAACAAATATTAAACACAAAGGAAAACAGACAGAGGAAATGAGAGACAAAACAAGCTATAAGATATAAGACATAGAGAAAGCAAATAAGCCAATAAAAGTTAAATCCTTTCCAATAGATGCAGTAGGCGATGGATGAATCCTGTTGATCGAGAGAAAGCACTAGGACACAGACAAAAGTCCAGCGGAGTAGAGTTCATTAGCAAAGGAACACATGGGACAGACTGCCTTCTGGGTAGGGAAAATGTCTGACCCCGGGTCATGAGCTGGGGTCTTTTATAAGGGGAGGCTTCTGGGAGGTGCAGAAGGCAGGAAGATATATTTTTTAAAGATTAGGGGGGTGGGGAAAGCAGGAGAGAGGCACTGTTAAAACCTGCCCCCTTTAGAGATCAAAGGGGAAGCCTGCTGTATTGGCCAAACTGTGGAGAAAAGTCTGCTTTTGACTTCAAAGACCAAGGTGCTTTTCTCAGGGACTTGAGGAACCCTGAGGCCCTCTTGGTGAGGGGGCGGGGCTATCTGAACCCTAAGACTTTCCTATTAGTGGGTAGACACAAAATATTTAAAACTTCCCAACCAAAATACATCAGTGACAGAATGGATAAAACAGGCTCCGATTATATGCTATCAACAGGAGACTCATTTTAAAGAAAATGAATCCATCAAAAAAAGAATGCAAATAGATATGCCATATAATCACTGAAAGAGAGGAGGGATGGGTGTAGTATCAGTCAAAATAGATAACAAATCAAATAGCACAAATACAGAGGATTAAAATAAACAAAAAACCACTATCTATGAAATAAGAAGATAAAATTAAGAAAAAGATGTTAAAAATTAGAAACATACATATAACACCAAACATCTGAGTTCAACAAATTCAATATTGACAGAATTAAGGGGAAGAAATACAACACTCTCTTAGCAATAGTTGGATACTTTGATACCCCACTTTCAAGAATGGATAGAACCAGACGGGATAAATTAAAAAAGAATTTTTGTAAAGAGGACTAGAAACACTAATGGCCATATACTTCATAGATGACCCTTGAGAACAACCAAATATTTGAGAAAGTACAAATATTATATGATTCTATTTTATCAAGTACCTAAACTTGTCAAATTCATAAAGATAAAGTGTAAAAGGGGTCTGGCAGCCAGACACTAAAGCAGACAGAATGGAGTGTAGCAACAGCAGTTTAATGGGTAAAGAGCTGCAGTTTGAAAGGCGATAAACGTTCTAGAGGTGGATGGTGGTGACAGTTGCACGATAATGTGAATTTATTCACAAGCCACTGAACCACACCTAAAAACAGCTTTGTGGCAAAATAATATACATATTTTTTAATAAAAATTTCAATGAAATACAGTATTTCTTACATTTTTACTGAGAAAATCTACAGTTATATGAAATAGATAATACATACTTAGGCATCTTGATATCCATGAAAACTATGGCTTTGGAGAGCTCCACATTGACATGCATAGGTACCAAAATATGCTGTGCAGATACATTGAGTTTTCGTGCTTCCTTCCAATTATCACCTAATTATAGAAAATAGTTCATGTTTAATATTAGGATAATTTGTATAACATACAAAATGTAAAATTATTTAAAGTATAATCAGCAAGTTCTTTACCTTTCCATTATTTTTCTTATGCTGTTTCACAAGATTATGCTCTACTGGACACACAGACACACACAAACACAAAAGCTTATTTTTTAAAAATCATCAGTTTTAATCAAATCTACTGCGCATTCATTGAGAATCAACATACAAACCAGATATTCTACCCCCAAAATGACAGGACTATAGGGCAATGGAAGAGGCAGGAACACGTATGACTCTTAATATTAAATAATAAACGTGTCCATTTGTTCAAAACATAAATAGCACTGTTCTAGGCAACGTTTAAACTTCAGTGTTCACCGTGATTTATATCATTTCATTTTAGAAAACTGGAACTCAGAACTTAAACTTTCCTATGTGAATGTCCTAAGACTATAGTTGAAATTCATATGCAGACCTACAAAATATATGACCTGAAACATTTGCTGCAGTGTTACAAGCCATATACATGTTCAGTAAGGAGATAATTTATAGCCTTAGAACATAATATAGCCAGGAGAACTCAATTTGTAAAGTGCTTGCCCTTCAAGGATAAGTACCTGAGTTAAATCCTCAGTACTCGTTAAAAAAACAAAAAAACAACCAGGCATATTGCACATGCTTGTAATCCCAGGATTAGGATGACTGAAGCAAGTAGATTCCTGGTACTCACTGGTATTTCAGGACAGCCTAGCCTAATCAGCAAGCCTCGGGAGGGAGGGAGGGAACACTACAGAGATGGTCTGCAGTTAAGAGCACTGACTGCTCTTGCAGAGGACCTGGGTTTAGTTCCCATCACCTACATGGCAGTTAACAATCATCTGTAACTCCAATTCCAGGGGAATTCGATGCCCTCTTCTGAACTCCATGACACAGCTGCACTTACATTCATGTAGGCAAACCACTCATACATATAAAATAAGAATAGACAGCACCTGAGAAATAACATCCAAGGTGGAACTCTGGCCTCCATATACATACATGAACATAAACACATATACAGAGAGAGAGGAGGGGGTAATATAGCCATCAAAAATCATAAATTCATATGTCAAAACATTATTGATAAAAGAAATAATATAAGGATAGAAAACTATAAATCAGGCTGGGATATAGCTCAATTAGTAGAGGTGCTCGCCTGGCAGACTCGAGGTCCTGCATAGACCAAGCACTATAAAGAAAGGGGGATGAATGCCTATAATTCCAGCACTCAGGAGGTGGAAGCAGGAAGATAAGGAGTTCAAAGTCATCCTTGACTATACAGCAAGTTTAAAGTCAGTCTGAGGTACAGGAGAGCCTGCCTCAAACTAAGGAAGGAAGGGAGGGAAAGAGAAAAGGAGGGGAGGCAAGAGGGAAGGGAAAGGGGAAGAGAGAGAGAGAAGGAGGGAACTATAAATCAAAGCCAATTATGACGGCACAGCACTATGACAGTAGTACTCAATAACTCAATCAGGAGGACTTCAAGGTCAATACCAGCCTAGACTACACAGCAACTCTCTGCCTCAAAAAACGAAACAACAAAACCAAAAACAAAAACCACAATACTAAGCTGGAAATGCAAAGGCACTTGAAAGGTAGAAGCAGGTGGACCTCTGTGAGTTCAAGGCTATGGAGTTTGTTCTCTCCTTCCACCTTTATATGGGCTCTGGGGATTAAATTTAGGTTGTCAGGCTTGTGCTGCAATCACTTTAATTGCTGAGCTATGTTGCCAGCCCTAAAAGACATATACTTTGAAGCATGTGTTTCAGTACTTCTTGATTTTCTAACCATTATATTAAGTAATCATAGTGTTAAAAAATTTTATTTAAAAATAATTTGTCAAAAACAGCTCCAAAAAATTCTAATAATCTTCAGACAATAACAATGTTGAATTTAAGTTTTTTCACAAAGCATTTTAACAGCTTAAATGGTAAATGCAGCTCACGAACTTCAAAAATGTGTGAGTTAATTTATCATTCAACCATATCAAAATGCCCTGACGATTTATGGACTTTTGAAATAATTTACTGTTGTCACCCACTGAACTTGTGGGCACCTTTCACAACAACTGGAATAAGATACAAACAAAAATCAAGCACATTATCCTAAAGCAAACATGAAAGAAAACATTCCAGTCCTATATAAACTAGTAACTTTAATAATAATTAGTTTTGGCTTCTCATTGCTGCTTTTTTCAGTTAGCTTGGATAACTGGTGTGATCATATACACACATACAAGTATCTAAAATAACCTGTAAACTGCTGAAATGATTTGAAGGTTCATTAAAACTGGAAGAACTCAAAAGCAGTACTGTAGAATGGAAAGAAGGCTGACTGTAAAGTCTCTCCTAAGTACTTCAGTGGATCTTATCAAGTAATTTCTGTCTCTGTCTCCCCTAAAAATAAACAGAACTGGATCACAGGCTAGTACACCACATTTGTGGTAAGCTTATCTATGACAGTGTGGCCTTCCATAGTCTGTGTAGCTGTATCAGAGCCACTAGACTGATTGCCTTTAGCCTTCAGAACCCTTTCTGGTTACCCGACTATGTAAAACCAATTCTCATTTGCATTATTTATCAATTTTTGGTTCAAAGTTAGAAAGCACTGATAAAGATGAGGGATAAAGATACTAACATTTGTTGTCGAGAACTGGCCTGTACACTGTTTAGGACCATCTTTAACTTCTACCCATCCTTAACTTCGACCTCCCTGATTATCTACCTATGATAAGCAAAAATGTTTCCAGACACTGACAATTTTTAGCCAGGTATCTTTGGGGGAACAAAATTTCCTGGTTGCAAACCACTACACGTATTTTTTTAATAACCTTATTTTATTGTAATGAATTCACAAATAAAAACATCACACAGCTAGATTAAGGTAGCCACTCAAACACTTGCCCAGTCCTACACATCTAAATGAATGGCCATTCTGAATCTATGGAATTTCATTTATGGTTTTCCACATTCACTATCAACTATATTTTTATTCACTAGACAACATTTACTGTCAATTCTAACTAAAACATATGAAAGTTCTAACCATTCATGGGGAACATCTTTAGAGGTATCTTCAAAGTGTCTAAAAGTCTAATTACTCACTCTGGTTAAGCCAAGCACTAATGCCTCTCATACTTACCCACTCTACTATAAAGCAACTGTATGCTGGTAAGCTGGATATCAAAAGAATCATAAGCTCTATGCTTAATTTCTTCTAGGTTGGCCCCACCTTGTTTCACATCTGGTAATTCCAAACGACTTTTACTTGTCACCTGAAAGTTAATTTTAATATGTTAATTTAGACTATGCAAAAGTTCGTTTAATTTAGTTAATTTAGACTATTTAGTTAATTTAAACTAAAATAAAATTCTAAATAAAATTATTCAATCTATAATATAAAATTTTAATAGGTCAAGATAAATGCATAAGCAGAAACATAAAGGTCATTAACCACTAGATATGCAATGAAGATAGGTATAAAGTGACATTTAAGATATATCAAAAAAGGGGAATCAAGGTAGTCCTAGAAAATAATGTATCTTTACAATGACTTAAAATACAGTAAGAAATCTTCTCTTAACAAGAAAACCAAGCAACAAATTTGGTACAATGGCAGATTTTTAGCTGGCTACAAAATACAGAACAGGACTTACGTATCTCTTTCCCAGCAGGTTATATTTTTATTTCCCCTTTGTTCACATACTGTGCATACACCTAATTTTACAAAATCATATACTCTTTAAATTTTTTATTTTTATTCATGTGTATGTCTACTTATCTGTATATGCACCACATGATTTCAATGCCCATAGAAGACAGAAGAGAGAATTTAATCTCCAAGAGCTGGTGTTACAGGTGGTTGTGGATCACCCATTGTGGGTGGTGAGAACTGAACCTGGGTCCTCTGCAAGAGCAGCGAGTGCTCTTAACTGCTAAGTCATCTCTCCAGCCCCTAGACAGACACTCTCATCCTTATGTTCTTACTAGACACTACACTTTAAATAATTTCATAACCAAACTCAAATATAAATCACTATCTGTGCAAACCTTATTATAACTATGAACCAGTTGGTCTACCTAACTACCAACTACAAAGTAATAATGAATCAATTTTTTAAGGAAGGGGATATCAAAATCAAGACAGAAACATCATTTAATATCTTCAAACTGTTATAGGTATTCTACATTTAATGATCTTGTTTACTTTTTTAATAGGGTCTCCCTAGCCCAAGCCCACCTGGAACTCAGTATGTAGACCAGGATGGCCTCAATTTGAGAGCTCTGCCCGCCTCTGTGTCCCCAGTGCTGGTATTAAAAGCATGTTCTACCACACCCAGTGTTACATTTAATGATTCTGAGCAGCACTGTCCAACAGAACTTTTATGATGATGGAAATACTCTAAATCTGTACTGTTGAACACAGCATCCAGTTCTGATTAGTAAACATTTAATAGAAACTGAATTCTCATTTCTCATTTATCTATTTTTCATTAATTTCAACAGTTACATGTAGCTAATGGGTATTATACTGAACAGTTCAGATCTAGAAATTTTTTAAAGTTGTTTTTGACTTAACTTTCAGGACGAAGAAAGTTTTAAAGAGGAATAAGGAAATAACACAAATATAAGACACTCTGTCAATTTGAATTACCTGATAGTTATTAAAATGTCAAAGATGAAAGAGAGATGGTTACTTCCAGGACTGTCTCCATTCTACATACTTAGTAAGATTTAAATTGAAAAGCTGGAAACCTCTGAGAAGGACTCTCAAATTCCATAAATATTTTCTTGTTTTTGTTTTATGTGTGTGAGTGTTCTGCCCACATGTATGTAGGCACACTGTGTGTGCAATGCTTATGGAGGCACGAAGAAGGGGGTTAGCTTTCCCGAAGCTGGAGTTACAGGCTGTTAGGCACCATGTGGGTGCTGGGAGCCAATTCCACCTGCTCTGCAAGAGCAGCCAGTGCTTTTACAGCCAAGCCATCTTTCCAGGCCCCTATAAATATAATTAAATTTATCCCAGATGCTCAGAGCTCAAATGAAAATTTTGGTTTTGGATATATGGGGGAGTGGGGGTGACACCAAATTAAGTGAAACTACACTATGTTCACCAACCAGAAAGAAATCTTAAATCACAGTACTACTATAAATGTAAACATCAATAAGACTAATCATACTACCTAAAAACAAAGCACATTTTAAACAAAGAAACACCCTAAATGCTTTACCACCAATCAATCATTATTAGTGTATACCTTTAAATGACCAAGATCCAAAAGCAGCAGATTTGATGTAGGACTAAAAATTCCATCTTGTGGGACGATAACATATGAAGCCTTCACATTAATTCTGAGATCAAGAACTTTCTGTGTTTCAATAATATACAGCAGACCTATAAAAAATTTAAAAATCTGCAATGAATATTTTCACAACTTATTTAAAAAATAGAGAATTAACAAAGAAATGACTTGTTAATGCAATTTAATGTAAAGTCAGTGCTGATTTTAAAATAATCTAGAGCAAAGAATTTCCAATACAAATGCTGAGCAATATGTACACCACTAATTAAATCTATGAACAAAATTAGAATATCCCTTTCCCCCAAAAAAATTGGTTTTAGGGGGTTTTGCTTGTTTTTTTAAAAGATTTTATTTTTATTTATATGTATGTGTCTGAAGCTGGAATAACAATTAATTGTGGGTCAACTGGCATGGGTACTAGCTAGGAAGAAAACCTGGGTCCTCTGGAAGAATAGTAAGCACTCAACCTCAGAACCAGCTCTCTAACCTTTGGGGTGGGGGGTAACCATACCTTTAAGAGGTCAGAGGAAAAGACTAAAATTGAGGCTTTAATGTTTGATTTTGGTTTCTACTGCACTGATACATCTGTACACGAACTTGAATGGAATTCAGGAATTTAAAACTATAAATGGAATATAAGACTGTAACAGAGTGGAAGGAAAGGTACAAATAAATAACAAAGATGAAAATGCATTAAGAGAAATTCTAACCCAATGATATCTTGAAAATGTTAGAGCAAAAGCCCTGTACCAAAAAAGCCCCACGAGATTAACTGTTCAAACAATAAACTCTCTGTCTGTTGGAAGACATGCCTTTCCCGTTTCACTGGACAATCACCTGGTCACAGGACCACCCCTAGGAAGGTGGGTTTACCTAAGTCATGCTAAAGAGATGGGCAGCATACCTAGTGGGTTAATGAGACGGTGAACTTTTCCTGCATGGAATCCAGCCTCCTAGTGCAGTGCTTTTGGACCTGGCTAAGACATATGGTTTTCTGTAAGTCTGCCTTCTTTCCTGAATTCTTCAGCAAATGTACTATTGCCTTTGCTTTTTCCTATTCCTTTGCTAAGAGTGCTTCACTAATACTCTGGGCTGCCCTAGTATTTCTTTACCTTTTCTCGAAAGTACCCCTCTCCCCACCATGTGTCTGACGTCCATGCAGGCTCTAAACTAGCACGGCTTCACAGCTTTTTTCCCTCTTCCCTCCATGCAACTCCTAAAGGCACTTCCCACGATTCCTAGCTTGCCTGCTCTGAGGGTTTTTCTTTAACGTCTAGCAAAACGTCCAAGCTTCTGTTTGAGTCCATCCTCAAATTTTTTATGAATTAGACTAAGAACACTCTAGGGAACACTCCTTTTCCCTGTATCAAAACTACATAGATACAAGACAAAAGCTATTAAAATAAAGATGTAGTATACTTTTCATGAATTTCTCTAAACTGTTAGTACAAGGTAACAAGGGAAAAGCAAAAACCCAGACAACATACATAAATTTTAAGTATATGGCTAATAACTGTGAGTGACCTAACAGACAGGTACACTTATTTAACACTTATTTAGAATTATATGACTTCTAAAACTTATTTTTAACAACATATAGAGTGAGAGAGCAAGTCCTAACAAATCCACTACACAAAATCATACAGACCATCTCTACAGTAAGATATCTATTTACTAAATTTACACAGTGGGAAAGGTGACTCAGTTGGCAAAGTGTCTGCCATTCAAGCATGAGGACCTGAGTTAGAATTCCTGTCACCCGTGAAAAATCCAGGCATGACAGGGCAAGTCTGTAATGCCAACACTGGGAGACACAGAGACAGGTGGTATGCTGGATACCTTTAGTGTCAACTTGACACACCTGGGTTGAGGGAGCCTAACTGGGGACTCTCTTCCATTGGACTGGTCTGTGGTCATGTCTATGGGGCATTTTCTTGATTACTGAGTTATGTGGCAGGGCCCAGCCCACTGTGGTGGTGCCACCCCTGGGCAGGTGGCCTGCTTTGTGTAAGAAAGCAGGTTGAGTGGGGGCCAAGGAAGCAAGCCAGTAACCAGCGTTCTTCCATGGCCTGTGCTCCAGCTCCTGCCTCCAGATTCCTGCCCTGAGTTCCTACCCTGGGCTCCATGATGAACCTGGGAGATGTAAAACAAAATAAACCCTTTCCTTCCCAAGTTGGCATTGGTCAGAGTGTTTTGTCACAGCAATGGAGAAACAAACTAGGACAGGTGGACCCTGGAGTTCATTTGATAGCCAGTCTAGCCAAATGAGTGAGCTCCAAGTTCAGTGTCTCAAAAAAATAAAGTAGAAGGTCGTGTGTGCGTGTGTGTGCGCGCGCGCACACACACGGACGTGTATTTATGCACCAAAACAAACACCCCTGCAAATTATCTAAAACATTCCTATAAGGAACTATCCAAGTACAAATGGTTTTTAGTTAAACTCTTTTATATATTTTAGAAAGAAATACTCAATTTTATTCTTCTAGAGAATGAAAGAAGATAGAATTTTTACCTTTCCCTCCTAATATATGAAGCTCTGGAATTAATTTTAAAAGAATGAAAATGGTAATGCTTACCACTATTGTAAACAGAGGTCCAAAATACAACATACCTGAACAAAAATTTTCAATTAAATGTGATTATGAAATACAAGCTTTGATTATAAAAAACACTGTTATACCTAAATTAATTTCCATTAAACAGTACCAAGTCTAGAAATAAATCTAAATAGTATTAGTTAATTTACAAACATTTGCTTACCTGTTGCTGTCTTATCTCGAAATTCTTCAAGTTTTGTCAAAGTAGCTGACGTGAGCTGTGTTAGATGCACGTCTTTTGGAGGTCTGAAGAATTCCACTATACTATTGACTGTCCTCTGTTAAAATAAGCACCATTAACATGAAGCACAAACTCGAAGCACATGGAATTGTACTGAAATTTGGTGATACAGAAAATGCTTACAGCATCATATATTATTTCTAAAGGTTCAGCTTCTATGATACACCTTTGAGCAACAGTTTCATCTAAAGGATTTATCTCAAATATTATTTGAAAGAGAGACATATCATCCAATGAAGAGAGAAGGTGGGGTTTTGTTGAATCATCTGATACACCAGTAATATGAAAGGAATCAATTTTGGTTTCAAATCTGTATGAAAAAAGATAGGACAGAAATTAGAAATTAATACAACTTTAAAAAGATAAAATATCATAAAGACAATTTTACTTCTCATTTCTTTTTTTGAAACAAGGTTTCCCTATAGTCCCAAGCTGGCCTAGAACTCTAGGTAAACCAGGCTGGCCTGGATCTCAGGAATCCAACTGCCTCTGTCTCCAAGTGCTGGGATAAAAGGTAAGCATCACCAAGCTCAGGTTACTTGGCATATCTTCCAGGTTACTTTGCATTTCTTGTAACTCCATTCAATTGATGTAAAAGAAAATAGACAATTCCTCTGAGTTTTAATAATTATTTCACAAAGAATCATATTCATACGTCAATTTTTTTTCTCTTAAAAAAAGCTAAAGTAAGCTAATATTTGGTATGTTCAACTGATAGTTTAAATTTCATCAATAAATTCCTGTAATGCAGAATCAGTGAAAAACTGAAAAGCAGTAGCACAGTTTTATAAGGACTTCCTCATCTAAGAACAATTAAAACCAAGCACCAGGCAGGATTTCAGAATGACAGTGTGAAAAGCTCAGCATCGTTTTCCCCAATGGATCAAACATGAAACTGGTGAAAAGTCACTTTTGGAAATCAGCCGAATGGCATACGGAAAAAGGCAACGCTTATTTAGGAAAATGTACTACAATTCACTAACAACCTGGAGAGCTTGTGGCACAAGAGCTCTGATCATCTCCCAGCCCCACATCTTACTACAGAAGGGTCTACACTAAGTTGGCCTAGCTAAGAAGGGGGACGCTCTTCCCTCAGTTCCAAGTCTATGTATGGTGGAGTTTTACCTCAAGAGGGACAGGTAGTAGACATTTCTCATCTCTCAGTCCGCAGCTACATGCACAAAAGCTCTATTCCGGTCAGGCACTGCCAAGAGGACTGAGGTTTTCTCTCCTCACATTCACAGAGAGGACGCCTCCAGAAGTCACAGTTAAAGAACACTGGGGCCCTAATTTTCCCTCAAACATTTTGCTACCTGAATTCTAAGCTCAATATGGAAAAGGTAAGCATATATGCATGTGTGCATGCACACACACCAAACAGTTAAGTTCATACAACAAGGAAAGTTGTAACTCTAGAAGAAGAGGGTTTGATGTCTCTCCTATGGAGCCCAGGCAGTGCAGAGGAGGTTTTGGTATATGGACTAAGAGAACTGGTAGCTCTGCCTAAATAAATTCAAATATTTCCGACAACAACAACAACAAAAAAAGAGGTTCATGATTAAATGAAATGCTGAACACAATGGCAGTATCAATGAAACCAACAGTTTCAGCAAACTTCAAAACGTATACAACAAACATCATTACCAATAAAGTGGCAACAAGCTAAAGAATAGAGAGAATAATGACCAATCATGGTTCTGATTAGACCTAAAGAATAGAATTACAAATCATGTGCCTGATTAGACCAGTATTCAGAATATATAAACAAAAACAAATATAAATGAAAAAGAAAAATATCCTAATTTAAAACTGAACCCAATGAAAATATACAAATGGCCATCATCCAAATGGATTCTGAGCAGAATTCTACCAGACATTTAAAGATCTACAAGCAATACTACTTGAAATATTCAAAAACATAGCAACAGAGGGAGAAGTCCCATATTCCTTTGATGCAGCCAGCATCACTCTAACACCCAAACCAGGTAAAGATATAACCAAAAAAGAAAACCACAAACCCTTATCGTTTATGAACAGAGATGGAAAAATTCTCCACAAAATACTTGCAAACCACACACAGATGAACATCAAAAAGATAATCCACCATGATCAAGTCGGCTTTATTCCAGAGATGCAGCCACCATGATCAAGTTGCATTTATTCCAGAGATGCAGGGATGGTTCAATATATGTAAGTCAATAAATGTCATCAAGCACATAAATGGATTAAATGACAAAAACCACATGGCCTTTTCAATAGATGCAGAGAAGGCTTTTGTCCAAATTCAACATGCACTCATGATAAAAGTCCTAGAGGGAATTGGACTAGAGGGAACATAGCTTGGCATAATTGAAGCTATATACAACAAACCCACAGCCAATACCATTCCAAATGGAGAAAAACTGGAAGGATTCCCATTAAAATCAGGAACCAGAGGAGGCTGTTCACTGTCTCCAATTTTTTTTATACAGTGCTTGAAACTCTTGCTAGAACAGTAAAACAAGAGAGGAAATTAAAGGATTATTTGACCTCTTCTTTTCCAATTAGTGCTCCTTTAATTTCCTTCTCTTGTCCTACTGCTCTAGCAAGAGTTTCAAGCACTATATTGAAAAGGAGTGGAGATAGTGGACATCCTTGCCTGGTTCTTGATTTAATGGAAATGCTTCCAGTTTTTTTTTCCATTTAGAATTATGTTGGCTGTGGGTTTGTCATATATACCTTTAATTATGTTGACGTACATTCCCTCCAGTCCAATTTGCTCTAGAACTTTTATTATGAATGCATGAATTTTCATGAAAGCCTTTCTCCATTGACTGAGATGACAACGTGGTTTTTTTTTTGTCTGAGTCCATATGATTGATGACGTTTACTGACGTATGTATATTGAACTATTCCTGCATCTTTGGAATAAAGCCTACTTGATCATGAGGAATGATCTTTTTGATGTACATCTATATGCGGTCTGCAAGTTATTTTGTTGAGAATTTTTGCATCTATGTTCATTAAAGATATGGGTCTATAGTTTTCGTTTTTGGTTGTGTCTCTACCTAGTTTGGTTATTACAGTGAGGCTGTCTATTCATAGAAGGCATCTGTGAATTCCTTCTATGGAATTCTCCCTCTGTTTCTATCATCTTGAATAGTTTAAGTAGTATTGGTTGGAGGTCATCTTTAAATGTCTGGTAGACAATCAGGAAAGCAAGTGACCCAATTTAAAGATGGGCTAAGGATCTACACAAAGAGCTCTCAAAAGAAGAAATAAAGACAGCTGAGAAACATCTTAAAAAGTGCTCAACATTGTTAGTAATTAAGGAAATGCAAATTAAAACCACCTTAAAATTTCATTTTACCCCAGTCAGACTGGCTAAGATCAAGAGAACAAATGGCCTGGGCTTTTTTTAATTGGGAGCTTAGTACCACTTTGAAAAGAAGAGGTCAAATTATCCCTTTTTATAGATGATATATTATACCTAAGAGATGCCAAAAATTTAACCAGAAAACTCCTAACAATGATTAACACTTTCAGTAAAGTGGCAGGTTGTAAAATTAATCTACAAAAATCAGTAACCTTTCTATATACCAATAACAACAATTGGAAAACAAGTACATGGGAACCCTCCCATCACAATAGCCTCAAAAATATCTTAGAATAAACCTGACCAAAGACATTAAAGGATCTCTACAATAAAATTTTTAAATCTTTAAAGATAATAGATTGAGGAAGACACCAGAAGATGGAGGACCTCCCACGCTCATGGATTGGAAGAACTGATATTATGAAAATGACCATCCTACCAAAAGCCATTTATGGAATCAATGCAATGCCAATCAAAATCCCCATAACATTCTTCACAGAATGAAGAAGAAAAATTCTAAAATTCATATGGAAGCACAAAAGATCCTGGATAGCCAAAGCAACCCTTAGCACAAAGACCAATGCGGGGGGATTACTATACCAGATTTCAATCTGTATTACAGAGGTATAGTCATAAAAACAGCATGGTAGTGGCCAAAAAGGAGGGGGGGCATAGACCAATGGAACATAATTGGAAGATCTGAACATGAGTACATGCAATTTCAGCCCTCTGACAAAGGAACCAAGAACATTCACTGGAGGAAAGACGGCATCTTCACCAAATGGTGCTGGCAAAACTGGATCTCGACCTGTAGAAGAATGAAACTAAACCCCTCTTTCACCTTGCACAAAAGTCAACTCCAAATGGATAAAAGACCTCAATGTGGAACTGGAAACTATGAAACTGTTAGAAGAAAACATTGGCAGCAACCTACAAGATATAGGTGTAGGAAAGAACTTTCTAAATAGGACATTAATTTCTCAGGAATTAAGGTCAAGGATCAAAAAGTGGGACCTCATTAAACTTAAAAAGCTTCTGTACATCAAAAGAACCAACCAAGGAAGTGAAGAGAAAACCCACAGAGTGGGAGAAAATCTTCAGAGGTGACACATCTGACAGAGGTTTAACATCCAGAATATATAAAGAACTCAAAAAAAAAAAAAAAACAATCAGGAAAGCAAGTGACCCAATTTAAAGATG